TATCGTGTTTAGTTTCAGAGGAAGCTAATGCAGAACTTAGAGTAACTTCATCTGAACAGACTTTTCAGGTCCCCTCCTAAAGGTGATATGAATATTTGAGCGAATATTCACCGGCTACTGCGGTGTAACCGCGTAATATTTACAACCTGTCCACAGGCAGTCAGTAGTATACAAGTACGTAATTATTTACCGAACTAACAACGCAGATACCAGCTAAAAGCCCATACACGCATGTTTCGCTGATCTTGTGCCGCTGGTTGGTGTAGCTGCGAGAAATTTGGCTAAACAGTGGGTCTCCGAGCATCCTCTATGTGCTTTCTGGTAGATGAACAGTTTTATTTCCGAAGAAATTAATGCTATTAGTAATGTTGTATGGTAAATAATTAATTCGTTGGATACTTCTGACTGCCTGTTGGCAGCTTTTTAATATTACGCGGTCTTCCTGCGGTAGGTGGTGAATATCAGTTCAAATATCCATATACATTTTTGGCACGAAGCTAAAGAGGCCTGTTTCGAGGTAGTTAACCCAAGTTCAAGCATTAGTTTCCTCGGAAATTAAAGAAGCCAAGATGAACCTGGAGTTCATATACCAGGATGCTTGTGGGGAAAGCTGGGTGACCAACTGATGAGCCGAAACCCTCACAGCGACGTTAGGCGCCGGCACAAGATCGGTGAAACGCACGTGCCTGGGCTTTTAATTAGTACCTGTGCTGTTCATATGGTAAAATATTACGAACTGACAGTTACTTGATTATTTCTTTTATCTGCAATGTTAAGCAACTGTAGACAATGTGGCACGTATGAGAGCTTACTGTGCCTATCCCTCGTTTATGTGAGTTGTCCTTGCACAGATCTAACTGTGAGCACAGATTCCACACTGCCAGATTATAGGAAATGTGTCGACCAGAATAGTTTGGCTTTCTCTTGTTTGCACCCCATCCACAATAGTTGAGACGCATATCATTCGTCGCACCTTTACTAAAAAATAAACAGTGGCGGTGGCGGTCTTGATGAGACTATCGCGGGGACTTAAGTTAATATGGCAGACCCTTGCCACTGTGATTTTCAGCCCGAGTCCCATAAGGGGGAGAGAAGAAGGGAGGACGCAAGGCGAGAGTAAGAGTGTATACTGTGCAAAAAGAGTGAAGAATAGGTTGGAGGGAATTGACAGCCGGACGAATGTGTGGCTGCAGCAATGAGGGCGACATTCGAAATGTTAGTGTGTAGGAGTCATCGCAGTGCCTCTAACGAGGTCATTGTGCGACAGCTTCAGGTAGGTGATTGGCCAGACCGGATTGGGCTAGGCAGACACTGGTGCGCACATGCTAACAGTCGCGAGAGGTTTAGTGTTGCACGTGGAGTTGGATCACTACAAGGCTGACCTATTGGCAAGTTGGGTTATTACTTTGACCCTGTTGTAAGAAACTCGGCAACCGCGATGGAATTCGAATCCATGTCGGCAAGGGGAAGACTGAAGTACAGCCAGCGCGCTAGCCACCTGAGCTAAGAGGCCTCACCGGGAGGCGCGAACTTACTCACACTTGGATAAAGTTAACCACCCAACCCACTAGAATGTATGGAATCCATTAATTCTGATAAAGGAAGCCGAATGTCCAAACAGGATTTCCTAAGAAATCAATTTAGAATTCTACAGATTACTACGAGGGACAAGTAGTTAGAAGGGTTTTGACAGAGTTGAATAAATCATCTGACCCAGCTATGAAAAACTCAGCGACCTCGGTGGGGTTCAAATCCTCTTCAGTAAGGGCAAGGCTTTAGTACAGCCAACGCTCTAGCTACCTGGGCTACAAAGTCCCACCGGAAGCCGCGAGTTTAATCACACTTGGATCAAGTTAACCACACAGCCTGCTGAAACGTATTGAATCCACCAATTCTGATAAAGTACTTTGACTGCCCAAACAAGATGGCCTAAGAAGGCAATCTGGCATCTCACTAGAGAACTACTATGTGCAACTTATTAGTAGGGGATTAACTTGACCCGATTGGGATTGAGCTCGTAACTCCCTGTGGGACCTCGTAGCTCAGGTGGTTAGAGCGTTGGCTGACGTGGATTCGAGTCTCACCGAGATCGCAAAAGATTTCACGACTGGATCAAATTTGCCAAACCCCTTACTAATTTGGACTATAGTGATAACAGTTCGTGGAGTTTCTATTTTCTCGCCGCACTGTAATTGTTTTCCAATCGCAATGATCTGATCAAACCTTCTAACTGACGTCGCGCAAAGCTCTTGGCTATCAGCGCCACCACCAGCACATGGCGCTCCATAAAGAAACCAGGTCTAACGGAGTTTTTACTGGCTTTCGCGTGTCACTGTAGATCTCCTCATTCGGTTTTGCCTGCCGTTGTCATGGTGTAGCCACTGCATCCCCGCACCCGGGTACTCTGTGTGTGTGAATCTCAATCAAGTAAATTAAATATTCCGCTTTGGGCACACGACTGCGCGCCAAAACACACAGAAACTTGAACTTGCTTTTTTCCCCTCAACTTTTTAGGTGTCGCTCTCATTTGACCTCTACTACAGACCGCCAGACAAGGGCGAAGAAGGTCTCGATAGTGAGAGGTTTGACCAGCCCTTCGCCGATTTGCACAAAGCAGGCACGTCTGGTGACGAAACAAAGGAGGAAGAGGATGAAGCCGAAGAGGAGGAATTCGAGTATGCGTGCTTAGATATGCCTTTTTTAAGAATGGTTACAATTTCCAGTAAATGTTCTGTCTACCAATGCAAGCCTTTTGACGTAGGGGAATCGCAGATTAATAATTGCACTCACGAAAAGGAAATGACCGCGGTAGCCACTCAGGACGTTCGGAACTAGTAGCCAGATATAGGTTAGAATTCGAGCTGAGAAAACTTACCTTAGTAAATTTAAATCAGTTAAAAATATGTGAAATATGAGGACGACATTCCACTGGCGTTTGCAGCATATAAAAAGAACTTTTAAATTTCTTTTTAGAGGAGCCCAAAATAGGCTACCAAAACCGTAGTGCATTTCTTACACACATTAGTAAGCTCGTGTCAATTTTTTCAACAAATACTATTCTTATCTAGTATTTATGGCATATATTGTTTATGCTTACATTTTAGAAGGGGCAGCGACTTTGCTGAACTATTTGACATGCAGGCGGCTGGGGTCGACATGGGAGACATTCAGTCAGTGCATTCCTCTGTACTTTCGGCACCTATTAGAAGGTAAGAAATATTTTTCGTCATGTGTGGAGACCTAACGGTTTCGGCGATCTCTGTCCCGAGCCCAAAAATTGAGGTAGGCACCTACATGGATTTACGTGTCAGGTGTTGTCATTTGCTCGTACTAGGTAATTCGCCCGCTGCAATTGACAAGAACTAACTATGCACGCGAAAATACGAGTCCTAGGAAGTAACTGCGAGGAAATAGACGCCAGCTTATTTTGTCTCTAAAGATGCTTTCAAGATGGAGTCCGAAACGTCAGGCGAATAAAGTTCTTGTCCCAACGATCGTGCTTACTTCTTCTCCCCGAGAGGCACCTTTATCGAGAGGGTTAAATGGGCGACGTTGTTAATAGTGAAGGCGACTTTGACTGTGTAAGGTGGTTAAGGTAGACTTTTGACAGGTTTTTAAAAATAAATCAAATAGGGCGTTTGTTAAAACTCTTTAGACAGGCTGTAGATTACAGTCCATTAAGCGCGTGGCACCCCTGTTCAGTAGAAATGCTGTCATAGTAGATGATGCAGACGCTTTGCTGGCGCGCTCGCTTAATACAGTTGCTCGGGTCGGGCAAACCCAGTTTAAATCTGCAATTTAGCTGCAGCTAGCACGCATTTGCTCTGCACAGGATAATTTGAGCACCGAAATCAGAGAAATCAATCGCTATTCATGTGGTGGCGCAATGATTACCCCTAGAGATGCAAGGGTCTGTAGCGATCTATGCCATGGGTGTGCTCAGAGCTTGCCCAGTTCCACGTAGGAAGAGAAGGTGAAAGACGAGTATTTGTTTATTCTGTAGAGAAACCCAGTGGTGGTCTAAAGCCCCGACGGGCAGCAAGCTCGGGGCCAATATGCGCACCTGTTTGCTAACGTGATGTGGAGATGAATGCGTAGACGTCATGCAAGAATGATTTACTGGCCGCTTGATCCG